CCGTATACCTTAGGGGAACTTCCTTTTGAATCCGATTGATCCCTCGGCAGAAAACGACATGCTTGACAATCATTCCAGGCAACAGTTCCTGAGTTGCAGTCGCCACCTCGTCTCCCTCTTGGATGTATACCCGGCCCTTAGGGGGAATCCTATCGTTAACCATCTGAAACACCCTAGCCCACGGATTCTCCAACTTATCTGGAGGTCTTGGAGGTGGCGGCTGTTTCCCGAGCAGACGGCGACGCTTCAAAACTTGCTTGGCAGCTGATAGGTCAGAATCGGAGCCCTCTCGCTTATGTTCTCCAACCAGGAGTTCTTCAAGGGGGAGTGGTAAACCTACATCACTCTTTAAACTATCCGCTACTCTGTCGGCAAGTCTGATGCTACGTTTTCGACCTTGTGAAGGCTGCTGCTTTGTCTGCTGTCTGTGGGTTGTCTGGAGATGCTTGCCTCTTGTGTCAATGGCTTGCTGTACGCTCCGGGATGTTGTGTGTACGACGGCGGTCTTGTGGAGGTGATTGTTACCTGAAGGCACCGCTTTCTTGCCCATCTCCGAGGGATTGTGGATTGCGCACCCTTGTTGTACCTCTGCCAGACGATCTGCACTCGCATTGAAGATTTCCACACCCCCTGCTACATGAAGATGACGACCTCTCTCTATCTGATGGTAAAACAGTTCCCGAGGCAGATCTTCTGGCCAAAATGGTTCCAACTTCGAACCATGCTGACGCTTCCAAGGTCGATCAAGGTTGATCCAAATGTGCTCCGGCTCATATGTGGACACAATTCTCCACAACTTTCTATGATCATTGGCAATGTCTCGCTCTTGTTGAAGCGTCTTGACCCTGTGACCACGTTCCCGGAGAACTTGTCCTATCATGCCAGAGCCTAGCTGGGCCACTTCGAGAACATCCAAGGCCGGCACACGATACTTATGGGCCACTGCATGAGGATTCCGCACTTCATCCCTGAGTTGATGCTCGATCTGGAGAATGCTGTGATCAATGCTTGCACACAATTCACTGAAGTTGGCCGTGGCTTCGGATCCTTCCAAATCAAGATGGCCTTTGCCTCGGTCATCTTTGGAAAATTTTGGGGCAGCCCTTACGTCTCCCCGCTTGCCTGAGCTTGCTCCGTCTCGTTCAGGAGCTGGAGCTCTCGTTCCAACATCACCTTCCGCATTCGGAGCTGGTCTCGGTCCATCTCGACTGCCATTCTGGTCGACGGTGCCGGGAGGGATCGCCTCTTCGAACTGGCTCTCAAAGTACCGCAGGAGCCGCGGTCTGTGTCGGTGGTGTCATGGGCCCGGCCGTCTTGTCCTTCCTTGTCGCCCCTTTTGTCGGGCAAACCTTCCAGTCGTCGAGGTCGCCCTCGGTCTTCTTGATCTGCTGCTGCGCCATCTTCTTCAGTCTGGCCTGGCTGTACCCTTTGAAGCTCAGGGCCCAGGCACTCGTGAGTGTCGACTTGCGTGCCATGACCATGGCGTAGCGAAGATCCTTTTCGAAGATCTCTCCGAAGGTGAGGTGGCGATGTTTGCCCTGCTCGGCTTTGATGCGGCTCCATTCCTGGAGAGTCCGCACTCCCGCCGGACGGACGTAGTCCACCTCGAGGAATTCCTGGAGACACTGCGTCTCCGGCGCCAGCTGACTGTCCTCGGGCCCCGACAGGGGCTCTTCCATGTCGACAACTGGCAGCTTTGTGTGGAGTTTGGCTGCTGCCTTGCTCAAGGAGGCCGGCATGACCGTCACGAAGAGGAGAGAAAGGAGTCGAATCGGGATCACCACCTATTTGGCTGGAAATGGGCTGCTCACCGTCGATTTTGACTGTTGGCTGTGGAGCTGTGTCTGTATTTGCTGTCTGCTTTGGTGTGATGTTATCCATAGGTGATCTGCTGTGCTCCCTTGTCAGCCTGCTGCGCAATGTCTGCACTCAAATGCGCCACTGCATGCGGCGCCAGAACAACAGAAGCAAGGTCAACTATCGATAACCCTCTCTCATCGAATCGCAGCGGAACTTCTACTCCGGACCCAAGACTCAAAATCCCTTTACGGACGTAAATCACTGCATCTAAATCCCTAGGAAGTCTGTTGGATATCAGTAATGGAGTGTTGCCAGGAACTATTTCGACTCTGACCCAGGTCGCCCCTGAAGCTGGAAGAAGCAGGGCATGTTTGGATGCAAGCGTACCGCTGTTCCCAAAACAAAAGGTGATGTCAGATTTGACTTTGCGCGCCTCTCTACGGCAGTCAGCAGGAAGCCCCTGAAGCAACTGGTGTACCCGGTCGGACCCTACTACAGTCCTACTGGCCCCTGTGTCCAAGACCCCTTCGGCCCCAGCGGTGGTCACAAGGATGCTTTCTTCCAACCCTGGGCCCTGCTGACATGACATGCGGCTGCTGCTCTCTACTGCCCCGCCTGGCCTTTTGCCAGCCTTCTTCACAGCAAGCGACCTTCTGGCGGCATCTCGCGCCCATTCAGGCGTCCTGCTTAGCATTAACATACGGCGTGCAAATGCGGCTTCAAAGTCTGTGCTAGGCTTCGGCTTCACCTCTGGTGATGCTGTCAGGCACATATGTTCTCTACCGCAAATTCTACTGCCCCCTGCTGATGCGACCTGTCCGTCCTCTTCCTCGACGTCGTCCTCGTGATAGTAGACCGCGTATTCCGGGATGTGGGGCGTGAGCTCTGGAAGGAAAGGGCTGTCGTACTCTGCCTGCGTATAGTGCGTGGTCTCTGTCTTGTCGTCCCGTTTTGGACATTCTCTTTTCCAATGTCCACGTCCCCCACACAGTCTGCAGGAACTCGTAGCGATCCTTTCTGCCAGGGACTTTTGGCGAAAGCCTTCGCCATGGCCGGACTTCCCTTTCTTGAAGGCTGTCCCCTTGATGCCTTTGCCTTTGGGTTTGAAGTATCCCCTTGCCTTCGCTTTGTCCCTCAACCGCTGTCTCGCTTCGGTGTACGAGGTGAACACCGGTGCCAGAGTTGACTCCTGCACAGCTTCTACTATACTGTCTTCGAACTCCGTGATGTACACCGCGTCTCCGTCCCCCTGGTTCAGGAACATCACCAAGATGTCTTCGTCGTGGTCGTCGTCCTCGGTCATGTGAATCTCTTCGCTCTGTTCTTCTTCGAACGTGGCATTCACATCATACACCTTGGAGCGTTCTGAACCCCTCTGGCCTGACCCTCTCTGCTGGAACTCCGAGAAGAACTTCGAGCCAAGCAGTCGGATCGATTTCACAGTGTCCTGGTACTTCAGATCCCCTTTTGCCTCGACAACAACCCGCTTCTTGTCATCTGGGCTCAGCAGTGAGTGCCGTAACAGAATGTAGGCTCTGATCTCTTCCAAGGTCACCTTCCGCGCCAGCAGCTCCTCGAAAGCTGCATCATGCCGGGAGATGTAGGAGTCGTTGCTTTCATCCGTCTTCTGTGCAACCTGGAACATAGCTTGCTCAAAGTAGTGGTACTTTTCCTCCACCGCCGTCTTGCCCCAAGAGCCGCCAAGTGACTCAACCAAAAGTTTGACCCCATCAGCAGATCGAAGCTTATCCGGAGCAATGCGACTAATCTTGTGAAAAGCAGCACCTTCCACCATAAGCGCTGCCCGCGGCGCCAGGTGTTGCAAGTGTTCAGGTGGCCACAACTCTTTCAAGAACTGCAGACGCTGGCTGTACTCATCTACATTCGTCACCCCTGGGATGAATCGAGGAACCTGTTGCCACGGCAGATGCCCAAGGCCGCCCGTGGACTGCCCTTCTGTTTCCGCACTCATGGCTCAGTCTCTCCACAGGCTGTTGTCTACCCAAGTATTCAGGACCCTTTTTCACCAGGATTCTGAATCGCCCCGTTTCCACTACAACCCGGACCGGGCTCCGCTACCAATGTGAATATGCTTCCTAGGATCCCGCCTAGGAGCCCGGTCCTGATAACCCCGTTAAAGGAACCCTATCCTGAAGTGAACACCGTTCTACGGAACCCTGTCCTACAGACCCTGTCTGCGTAGCCCTGAAGGCCCGAAGCACCCTGTGCCACCTTTCTTTCCTTGGCCAAGCTATCCACGCCCTCCCTCCACGAGCTGTCAAAGGCAGCGGAAGGCACAAATGAAGGACGTTCCTGGCAGCAATGTGCTGGATTCACACTGGTCTAAAATCTCTAGTTTTCTAGAGTTCACTTGTGATCCGCTTTACTGCGATCAGAGTCGTCGTCTGCTGTTTGGCCAGCCACTACAATGATTGCCGATGCTCTGCCCTATCGTGTAAGACTTCTTGCTCATCACATAGGGTGTAACGCCCACTTCACAGTCGCTTACGGAGTTCAGCACTGTCCATAACCTTTGTTAGGCAATCGGCAAGCATCGCTCGGCTATGCACCCAACGTAGCTTGCAGTTTTCTTGCAAGCGTTTCCTCAGCAACAGGCACTCCAGCTGAGTTCGTAGTTCAGAACAACTTGGGATTGCAGTTTTGGTGGAAATGTCGAATGCACTCTTGCAGTCCGTGACTAAGGAAGCTTGGGGTGCTTTCTGTAAGATCTCCTCAGGGCTGGCAAGATTAATGGAAGGGTCTTTTAGCCACTCCCAAAGAAGACGCAGCCAGGACATCCTATCTATGGACCCACTTAGTGACACAACCTCTGCGCTAAGAGTACTTCGAACCACCCTGGCGATCTTCTTGCTGCACCACGCAACAGGAACTATGACTGCCTTTTCGTTGGCCAACATTCGCCAATCTGTAATCATTACCAGAGTCCCCTGATACGAGTTATTCTCCTTAGAAGTTGCGAATGAGGCGTCCGAAAACGTGCAGAACGTTACGTGTTCCTCGCTGATCGGCACTATCATGAGAGATACACGGTGTGCTTTGGCTTCATGCAAAACCCTATTGGCTTCGATGAGATGATGAACCTGACCCTGATTGATCCGTGTTTGGAGAAACCCTACCTTAGCCGCTAGGTCCGGCCGAGTGTGCACAGCCGCGTGTTGGAGACTCCCATTCAAGCGTCGGAGTTCTTTCACTTCCTCGGGTGTGAGAGAAGCATTGCTATGGGTCCGTCGCTCCCTTGGAAGATGAATAGGCGCTATCTTCTCTATATAGGTCGTTTGATCCATTTCAATGCTTCCATCCAACCACTGACGGAAGTGTGTCCCGGTGAAGTTAAATTCGCCCTCATCATACGATCCGAAGTTATAAATGGCTCGCAACTCCTTGATCACCTTACTGAAGTATCCATCCCCTCCCCCGATGCCATCGTCCACATGAATGCCTAGAACCCCATGAACCTTTGGGACCCCATCCCCCTTTGGAGTAACGAGACAAAAGGTGCAGGCATCAAACGGACACTGAATGAAGCCGAGGTTTTCCAGTGTTTCCTTGAATGTCTGGAACCAAAGAAACGGAGCATCTACCCTGCCGTATGCCCCGCACTCTAGCAAACACTGGTCATGCTCCTTCATGTCCAGAGCCGTGCGAAGTTCTGGCGGAGGCCGGATGCCTAACTTTCTGCCATCCCCCTTTCCTTGGAGAAAGGCCGTGGAAACATCAAAATTGATCAACTTCCACTTGTTACTGGCTACCTTTTGGAGGATCAGCTGTCTAGCATCCTTGCCCAGTGTCGGGGCGTCGTTGGGAATCGAGGAAAGATCCGGGTCTTCGAAACCCAATACCACCAATCTCGCCTTAGCCCGCTTTGGCCCCCCTACCTTTTCCGGATCTTTCCAGCTCAGGATCCAACGACACCGCATTAATTGACTGTCATCGAGAGTGCCCGCAGCAACCTTCCTGACTGTGGCATGATCCAGCCACGCTCCCACCTCCTTTTGCTTAGCCTGGCTAAACTGTTCCTGCTCCTCTCCAGAGAGATCCCTCAGTCGGACCTCGACCCGCTTTTTGCGGTCCTGGGTGGCGAGCATGACATAATGAAGAGCCTGAGTCGGGGAGGGAAGATTGCAAGGCTCGATATCAGTCTCATGAATCCCGATTTCCCAAACTTGATTCGCTTCAGGGTGCACTAAGAAACACTCCGTATCCCCAAAAAGTAAATCATCCTCATCATCTTCGGGAACTGGAATATCTACGGGTTCGGGCATGGCAGCATCGAGCTCGGGCGTGGCAGTATCGAGCAAAGGAATTTCCCCTTCAGCCGTCTCAGACACTGCTGGGGAGGCTTCATGTTCCGGCTGCTCCTCTATGTTCCCCACAGGATTACGTGGCCCTGCTTCGGGTGCTATAATGACATCAACTGGCGGCGGAACAACAACAGGCGGTGGTCCCTTGTTCCACCTCTTCACGCACCAGCACTTCCCCCTGTACCGCTAAGTCAACCAACTGTCGAGGTTGCGCGGTGCCTTGCGCAACATCAGTGATAGCCTGCCACTCTCTCATGGAGGCGGAACGCAATTGCTCAGGCGCGGCCCTAATTAACTGACCACAATGGCTTACATATACAACCCGATTGTCCCCACTAACAACCTGCCCAGGTCCACACCATCTACCACGCTCACCCCGTGTCCCTCCTTTTTGCCATCGCCAATAGAGCACCCAATCGCCTGGTTCAAAGCTAGATGCTCGAGGACGAGACCTTCTCAGTAGAGCACGACGGTACGCACAGTCATTGTCAGCTTGCACAAAGGCAACTCGAGCCTGCTCACGCCGCTGCAAATCTCTCCTAAATGCAACGCCCTCGGGCATCTCTGAGTCCGCCAAGGCATGGGTAGCTGCATTGTCGTCCGAGATTAAGGACCCTGGCACCCTGCTCATCTTACCTAGCACTGCTTGCTCCGGAGTGTATCCTTTCACTCGGCTCAACGCATTTTTGGCTCGAACGGCTTCTCGCAAACACCTCTTGAAATCAGCTTCATCCTTAATGGGCTCCTGACTGTCCATGCGAGTCAGCATTGATTTCAACAGGTTTCCATGCTTCTCCGTCCGGCCAAGCTGCCAGCGGGCTTCCCCCGCGGATACATTGGCTCGAACCCCTTCCCTTTGCAGTTGTAAACGCCAAAAATCACTGTTATACTCCCCAGCAGGATCGATATACAACACTTTACAGGGACCAGTCCACTGAAACCAAGTATCAGCCAGAACTGCAAACTGTTCTTCTGGGGTTCGACCCGTCGCTACGGCTTGTTGAAACAGTGTTGACTCATCAATGACATGTGTGAACAGATGCTGTTGGCCCGACCTCCCCGTCCAATAGGCTACGTCCATGCCAACTACATCCCCAAAATCCCCATCAAAATGAATGCTAGCTGGTCGGGCCGGTTTCATTGACGGAACTGTTTCCAAGCAAGCTGCACAGCTGTAGTCACGTGCGCCTCGAATGAGCGCTGGCTCAGCCTTGCGTTCCTGCAAAAACTTCACGAATACTTCCACAGCCGGGTGTCCGAGATTGTGATGTAGTCGGGACAACTCGGTCTTCTGCTCTTTGCTAAGGTCTAAATACCCTGGCCCATGCCGCGGGATGGCCCTAGGTGGATACCCCTGAACTACTCCCTGTGGCACCCCACTACTATCCCCTTGTTGCTGTCCCTCCGGCATCACAATCTCCGGCACTTCTGGCTGCGGTCTGGCATCCGAAACAACACGCGAACCTGGCTGAGCCTCTGTACTGGAAGCTGGCTGTGCCTCCATGCGAAGCGGTTCTACCACACTTGGCTGAGATGACCCAACATCGGATGCCGGGATGGCGCCATCACTATGCTCCCTAAGTCTAGGTCTACACCCATACACCGTCAATGCAATCTTTGCTGGAATACAGGGGGACCCTCGTTTATACTTTGGGATTGGCGACCAATCTTCCGGCTGCTTATCTGCCACTATCTCACCGCCAACTCGTTTGACTACAACCGTATACCTTAGGGGAACTTCCT